GAGGAAAGAAAGCTATTAGAAAAGTGCTGCAATGCGACTCGGCAGATGATTGTGATATTGTCGGTATTAAAAAAATTGCTGATTATTTAGAAAGAATAAGAAGTGACTCAAAGATTAAGATCACCAAGTTCTTATTCATTAAGATCAAATATTCTTAGAGTACAAAAAACCAAGGCAGAAATTTGTCTCTGAGGATGAAAATGAGCACCTAATTGGCAACTGATCTCCTGTTCCTAATTCTCAAAAAGTAGGGACCATAAGGTACGAAAAAAAAATATTACTGTTAAAAAAGTTATGAAAATATATTTTGGTTCATTATTGTTGAATGATTGTTATTTTAAGATATGACATAACTAATATCGACTTTTAAATAAATGTTTTTAGTAAGTGCAGTGCCAAGAGATCAATATTACGACACTGCAGAATTGTTTGTCATTTTGTTTCGTTTTTCTTGCAATTTTAAAGACTTAACGGCGATTTTAATGTTTTTACACGACATGAATTTTTTCTTAACAAAATGTCAAAAATATTCTCAAAACGATTACTTTCTAATAAATGTTCGTTTTTTGATAAGTGCGGTCCCTTAATAAAAAATCATACTTCGTTTAGTATGTACATTTAGTTTATGATACTGAAAACAAATTATTTTTGATTAAACGCTTTTCAAAATTTATGATACCTACTTATACAGTATTTTTTTTAATTCTTATAATGACTTAATGTCATAGTGAAATATATTTAATTATCTATAAAAGGCCTCTTGATCCATTGATAACCAGGAAATGATTCAATATTCACCACCCACCACCACCGCATGTACCTACATAATGTATGTAGGTCAATTATGCTCTTTTACAAAACAATCAATGATTTAGTAATATTCTGAAAGCTGATGAAATATGCAGTACATCAAACTGATTTCAAATCAATTTCAAATCAATCTGATCAATAGATTTTGAGATATGTGCCCTAAAAAAGTGACCCAATGTTTACCCGGTTACCCTTTTTTTTCCGTGCGGAAATCCCCTCGGATACCACCTATCGGTGGCATGTCGGATTCGAACCGACTAAAACCGCACGCCGTCTTGGGTACTAATAGCCGGGGAATCAGGTATACCCTAGAAAGGAAGTCCCTGGTGTCCCGACATACCTCGGGCCATCTACAGACGAGTAGACGACCCACCCGTGTGGGAACCCCATGTTACCTCTGCTCCCTGGAAGCGAGCGCGCTTCGCAACGCGCTCGCTTCCAGTTATCCCAGTTACCCTACAATTACTGACATATTTTATGAAAATTATGAATGACTACCTTGATAAGCCATTATCACCTTTGGATTTCCATTAACACAAAGAAGGAATACGAAACCAATTTCTTATTTCTTAGATTTTTAGTAAATAAAACACAACGATTGGCCAATGAGGCCGATGTAGCGTCATCGTTTAATAGGGTCAATGATGCCTCTTTTTGGACCGTGTTAATAAAGGTGGCGATGAATCAGTTTATGAATTGAGAGACTGAGATATGTGATTTGTATAAGTTATTTGATCATAACAGTTTTAATTCAGGTTAAGAAATTTATAGCCCTTTGCTTTAGGTTTTTAATATTTATTTATTTATTTATTGGTTTACCAGTTATTATTACACAAAAACATTTGTAAAAAATAAAACATAGTATTGACCTTAATCTAAGTGCATGACTTATGAAGGTAAACACCGCATGCATATAATCTAATATGGCTTTAAAAAAAAGAAAAAAATAATAGTACCTACCTATTAACAAGGGTTGTGAAAAAAGTAGAAAAATAAAAGGTTGTAGAACCTATAACCTAATATTAACGATAGGTACTATCGCCAAATAGAAAAACAATTAGTACATAGCTAATCGACAGTATGTTTGTGGACTCGGTTCTTAAATCGTTGAAATTTTGTGCCAAAAATATCTATCTGTTTACTGATTTGATTGTATTTCTTGCTTAGCCGTGAAACAGGCGAGTTGGAACCTAAAACCGACTTTCGCAAAGGAGGATGTAGGAGCATTATTGGTTTTCGGGGATATTTGTGAGGTATATTGAATTTAAATTTTGAAAGTAAATTGGTCCGTGTGGTGACGGATTAAGAATACAGAGTGTCACCACCCCTATTCATCCCGTGGGTGTCGTAAGAGCCGACTAAGGGAAAAAACTAAGCAGGACAACAGCACTGCAGAGAGAAGGAAGACTTGACACAAATCCTTTACCAACCCGTCTGGCCAGCGTGGTATAGTAGGCCAAAACCTCCTTTCTCAGGAGAGGCTTATGTCCAGCAGTGGACTATTAAAGGCTGTTGATGAAGTAAATCTGTCGCCAAGTACGGCACAGAATCATACCCACTGAGTATGACCAATTGTGAGCGATTTAGTAAGTAGGACGTGAGCCATCGGTGCAGATTTCCATGTATTCCTATGCGATATATCGATTAACGAAAGCAGTTGCACACATACGAATAAATATTGGGGGAACACCATCATAACCACCCTTTTTAGAGACATCGATCTGTTCAATCTCATTTAACAAATCACTCTTTGAATTACGCAAATCTGTAATTGAAAAGTAAATACCTACTCTAACGTAGTAATTTAAAACATAAAAATATGTGTTTAATTAAGAATTTATCTCTCTCTGACATTTCTAAGGACTTAAAACTAGAAGTAGGTACACATACATAATCTTTTAATTTTTCGTGAAGTCTACGATCTAGCTCTTAGACTATTTCTACCTTAAAAATTGAGTTCATTATATCTCTCTCTAATTTTTGTGTTATCAAAATTAAAATCCATGATGGTGGCCATGCCAGGGTCAGTGACACGTCTTTTTAAGATATGCAATTTTGAAGTACAGTATTTTGGTCTATCTCGTAAAGTTTGGCCAGCGTTTGCAATGTAAGCGCACAAAAACATCTCAACAAACCTTCCTCTTGAATTACTCTCTCTATTGGTCAAAACCGCATTAAAATCCGTTGCTTAGTTTAAATTATCTAAACGTACATTACGTTTTATACTATGTAAAAAAATATATATAATGACATGAAATATTAAGATAAGCAAAATTTTTTCATTTTCATATTTATTCATAGAACACATATTACAAAATAAACGAAAATAAAAAACATTTATACGCTCAAAATTGTTTTCAGCACGCTCGTCGGGAACACAACAGTTGTGGCCAGCACTTGTGGATCCAAAAAATACTGGTGTGATTACAACATTGGCGAAAGTTTCTATAAACAGAAGGTGCGTATTATTTAGCAGTAAAGGTGTTACCGCCTGCAGGATATTTATTCATTATCATCATCAACAGCCTTTACTAGTCCACTGCTGGACATAGGCCTCTCCTTAGAAAGGAGGTTTTTGCCTACTATAACACGCTGGCCAGACGGGTTGGTATAGGGACAGGATATTTATTAATTAAGGATATATAATTTACAGTGGTGATGTTAAAGATTTATTAAGATAAGATTAAAAATTAAAGCACACACATACACATTCAAATATATATTTACTGATAGGTGTATCATATTTTGAAAGAAAATTATAAACCACAGATTCCAGAACGTTAAATCTAACATCAACAATTCATTAAAATAAGCCATGTAATGTAAACTAGGCAGACAAGACAGACAAGTATATGAAATTTTTTTTTATAGACGATATATAAATCAATACAAAATAGGAAACCAAATTCACATTTATAAAAATTTCAATGTATTGTCTCTTGTTAATGTATGCCTCTTACATATAATGTCGCTGTAGAATGAATACCTCGTATGTCAAAAAATTGATAGATGGCATTAGTAGCCATTAATTGGATTTTTGGCTTTGCTGTGCTATGAGATACGAGGTTTTCATTAGATTTATACAAAAATAAAAATATATAAATTTTTTGACATACAAGGTATTCATTCTACAGCGACGATAAGTGTAATATTTAGTATATTAAAACAAAGTTCTAGTTATGTTATGAGATTCTTTATTTAAAAAACAACCGTTGTCTTTGGAATGTAATTGATCTTATTAAACTTATTACTAATTATAATGATTGTTCTTAAACATGTTGTACATAAATAATTATAATATAACATTAAATTTATAGACTACACTAACATCAATATTATTTTATTTACTCAAAATATAAATTTATACCAAATTAAAAAAAAAAACCCTAGGGTGGTGGGTGATGTGAGATCATAACTGGATTCTATGCATATACAACTAAATAGTTTAAACTCAATAATGCAAACAAAAGTTTGCTAACTCTCTCTGTGACACTCAGTGATTTAAAATAAAAACCCCTTTTTATACTATGCAACTATTAACTTATCAATCTCATTTTTGCTGTGCATAATTAAGACACATTAACATATGAATAATCTAGTAACCTATTGGTGACTAAATTTCTTAAAAAGGATCATCAAAAATTGCTGGTGGCAGAAGCTGTTTCAACAACTAATGTCTAATAAATGTCACAACAATAATATAGCAGAAATAAACTTTTTTAATATATTTGAAGTATTAAAAACGCTATCATAAATACAAATCCTACCTTATTATATGGAGTTGGGAGAACTGATAATTTATTTTATAATTTTTCACTGTTGTAAGTGAGGTGACAGTTGAACATAAACATAAAAACATTAAGCAAATTACAGTATATTAAGTTACTTGAATAGATACTATTTTCTTTTCACATAAATATGATAAAATAATTTTGGTAAAAAATAAATATGATGAAATTTAATTTTCATGATTTCAAATATCATACAACTCTACATGTGCAAAACTAATACCAGATAATATTGAGGAATATGTAATTACAATATGATGAACAATGGCTTTACATGTCTAGTATTATTTGTGAGTTGTTAATGAATAATACTCAGAATCTAAGAGTGTAAACAGATTATATAAGCAAGGACTTTTTTACTTGAGTTACATTTTTCATCATCATTCTGTATATCCAAGTTATTTAAACATCCATGTTTTCTTCCAAATCATCACCTTCAGTTTCTTCCTGCCAGCGTTCAAAATCAATTTTAAGCCAATGATGCTTTTTCTTGTCATTAGTCAAAGATGGCCAGAAAGGTTCATTTGCTTTATCCTTTGTAAGAAAAACCTCTACGTACCTTCCTTTGTTTGTGTATGAACTTCTTTTAGGATCAATATCTGTATATAATTCTATTACTACTGCATAATATTTCTTATCTGGATTGCCTATTCCTTCAAATGTAACAGCTCTTCTTTCAATAATAATCTCGGGTTTTTCTGATTCAACATTGAATGTCAAAAATACTGAATCAGTTGTCTGCGCCCATGTAACCGGTGGTATGATAGGTAATAATTGGGTACTCATTTTAGCTGAAATTTAGAAATATATAATTAGTAAGTATAAGTTTAATTAGTTTTGTTTATAGTTGCAAATAATGTGAAGTTGTATACTTTGATTAAATTATCAGTAACTCACAAAGTAAATCGTTAATAACACCAGAAACTAATCAGATTCAGATGCACAGACACAGTAACAGTAACAGTAACAGTAACAGTAATATTATTAAAGATTCAGAGGATCGATATTTTTTTTAACCGGTGTTGCCAAGAGTTAAATTAACTTTCCCCAAGATTCAACGTCTAAAACCGCCAGATAACCATTAACGAAAATTACCCTAATAATCGCTAAATCTTCCACTAAACATTTTTGTTAGTTATTACGAAGGAAAACATTAAGTATATTAATAATTAGTTTACTTTATTATTATTATGCCCAAGATGGTTGGCAGAAGTTGGATGCGAGAAGCCGACACTCGATCGTAGTGGCGTGCAATGGGAGAGCCCTATGTAAAGCAGTGGACTGCGATAGTCTGGTGATGATGATTATAATGTAATACTTATACTAACAATCAATAAATTAATATACAAATTCTTTTCTTTCTTCTTTTCTTTTTCTTATAAAAGACAACTCCCGAATATATCCTGTGTCGTGGGGGACTTTACAAACATACATGAAACGGACACAAGAACACCTAGACTCAGAACAACAATTTGTGGATCACACAATGTGTCGTATATTAGTAGTAAGTTGCGCGTAAGTATACCACCAAGGACAGCAAGGATGGCGTAAGTATACGCCATCCTTGCTGTCCGTGAAGTGCAAATAGTAAATTAACAATATAAAAAACAAAAAAAAAAAAGTTAACTAATTTTAAATTAATTCATCCTCTGCAGATAAATCGTTTCTATTTCACCATCATCGTCGGTTTTAGATTGATACGACTCTTTGGTACCGATTTGTTTTACAACGTTTATTGGAAATTCATATTCGTTGCAGCCATTTTCATTTGTTTTGCAATGTTTATTGGAAATTCATATTCGTTGCAGCTATTTTCATTCCAACCTCAAACCACAGCGTATTCTTAACATAGCCGATAAAAAAATTTACTTCATTCTATTCTTCTGCTTGTTTTTTATTACATTCTTACTGCTAAATAGTTCCTCAATATCAGCATTGAAATAAATCCTCAAATTTCGAATTCTCTTGGGCATCTTCGAAGTGCAATACTGCCAGTATGTGGTACACTTAACACGACGGGGATTGGTAAATAACAACGGATCGAGTTTCGAACGACCATGGGTTTTTATGAAATCAATTTTCTTTTTTTCATCTTTGTACGAAAGCCTCCATTCTTGAGGTTTGCGTACACAAACAGTTCTCACAGTTCATCTTTCAAGATCATCTCCTAAGTCATCTACAATCTTACTATTACTATCAAACCACTAGAAAAATCTGGCAACACTGTTTTTAACTCACCAATTTGACACTGCAGATTTTTGGAAGTCAGTACTCTATAAAACTATGGCTATGGCGCTTTGGTGACATTCAATCAATAGTATAGTCTGAGACCAAAGTGACAGTTCCAAGTTCCAATCGACCCAAATTTTTTTCATCTTGCAAGTGTGCAAGTATAACGTTGTAACGTTGTTGACTTTATCGATTCGCACTCTTAATAGGAAAGGGTGGTTTTCCTAAATAAATTATTTATAATATCTGCCTTAGAAAAAATAGTTAAAAAAAACTAAAAGAACATGCTTATGTAAAAGCGCTTTTTACAAATTTTTTTTCTTAATCACTTTTTTCGCTTTGAACTAATAGAAAATTTATTAGAGCACGCTAAGCCGTCGGTCCCGGTTGCCATACGAACATCTTTGGCAATAGTAGTTGCAGCCCAAAAAAAGTCCGAAACGTCTTTCTATAGAACTTCGATATCGTATCGTACTTGGGTTGTGGAGGTCTGATGGCGATCGTTACACGGAATAAAATCGTAGTGGTCTTAAAGCTGACCCTAACCTTATTTGGGAAATAGGAAACCTAATTAGGGAATACTAATTTATAATGACAGGGAAGCTTTGTTTAGATGTAAGATATTGAAATACGTACTCATGGCTTAAGTTTGTATTCTGAAAATGCCACTACAATTATAAATCCAGGCTACTCATGCTACTGATCAATGCAAATTCAAACTTATAAATTAACTGAACTTGATCCTTTAGGATACAACACTATTTTCACATTATGATACGCGACAGTCCACCAAATGTCATTTTCATCTATAGATTCCTAGGTTTAAAATAAATTATTTCGCTTGCATCATGAAATGTAACATCTTAAAGTAGAGTCTGAATTGTCCTCTGACTGAATTATCAAATTAATCTTTTTATTTATTTTATATCTTGATAAAAACATCAAATATAAATGATTTAAGAATAGCTAGGTAAGACGTCACGAAATAGCATCTCATACAAAAATGTATCGCGTCTAGCGTTGAAAATTTTTAGGGTGCATTTTGACTTATTAGTACCCGAGACGGCGTGCGGTCTTTAGTCGGTTCGAGTCCGACATGCCACCCATGGTGGTATCCGACGGGATTTCCGAACGGAAAAATAATAATACAAAAAACAAATAAAAAGGGTGCATTTTGACAGTTAGTGTCTACATACATAGCCGTAGAATAACAGATTCAGATTACAAATTTACGATCATCAATTTATGAGAAACATCGTTACTTTTTAAAAACAGTTGTAGTTACTTGTGGCTATAAATTTAGTCTACTTATTTAAGATTTATGATCTGTATACTATTAAGTACTACTAAGTTTATGGGGAAACATTATGCTTTTAATCTTAACAACCTCTTTGATTTCGGAGCCTTCTTAATCGAAAATAAGAATACTCACTTTCACATTTATAATAAAAAGTAGCCTATGTTGCTCGCTGATAACGTAGCTTTCCATTTGTGAAATAATTTTGAAAATCGGTTTAGTGGTTTAGGCGTGAAAGCGTAACAAATAAACAAACAAACTCACTTTCACATTTATAATATAAGTATAGAAGTGCGGAAGTGTGGAAGTATGGATATATATAAATAGGGGAGCAAACGACCAGACGGGCCATCTGATGGAAAGTGACTATTTGCACCCATGAACGCCTGCAACTTGAGTTAGGTTTACGCTTATTTCTTTAATAATTGAAGGTTGTTGCGGTCTGGAAATACCGTAGGTGACAATTTGTTCCATAGATTCGTTGCACGAAGCAAAAGTTAATTGAAAGCGCAAAGTGCCACTGCCAATTATCCAAGTGATGGGGATTAAAGTTTGAAGTAGTATAGTTATAGTTACATATAATGCTCATTTCCTTTGTTTGAAAACTAGGTTTTCAAAAATGGTTTTAATTTTTGTGGTGGAGCCGTCCGGGCGGAATAAGTGGTTTTGTTCTCCCTAGCACAATTTAGTTGTAATTTTCTGAGTGGGCGAGTCGATTGTTTAACTTGATAGTATGTAGTTTTAATCAATATTAGTGGAAGCTAAAAGTATATATGTATATAATAACTCTGCTCACAATGTGAAAAGTCAGTTTTACCATAAAATAAATTAACAATGTTTTACTTGTAAATTGTTACATTAGAAAAATGTAAAACCATTTGGTAGCTATCGATAGATTTATTTGATGCACAAATATACATAGGTAATATATTAATTTTCATATTATGAAAAAATAACAAAAAATCATAATTGAGTAGCGTTGGCTATCCTTACATTAACTCTCCACAATGTTTTGAGCCTCATTTTAAAGATTATTGGTATAAAAATTTATTGAACTTATTAAGGTATTCCGAATGTCACCAATTTTACTCTAAGAATTCTGTTAGTTCACTATTGAATTTAATTATTTTTAATATAAGGCAACCTTGCTCGTTTAGTCCCCTTCACGCTCATCTTACGTCGATCCAGCAACATCCTCAAAGTATCAATACCTGTTAGTGTTCTTTTTAACACCCACCTACTGTTCTTTTTAACACTTTAAAATTAAATATTTTTTATAGGACAGTATGTGTTTTGTAATCCAATTGGGACTCATCCTGGTAATGTTATGCTTCAGTAAGATCCTAAAGCATACAGTGGTATTCTATCTTTATAACCTCATTCGTGTTTATTTAACATCTTATCTTAATTTTAATATGGGTTCACCATTTAGCTAGAGCTAATTGCTTTTTGCGCGTATGCTATATGCTCTATCTACTATATGCTCTAAGATCTGAATTTTAGCGGGTCCGAGATTCCTTTAGATTTATAGGTAACTCGGCTCCGCTGCTGCGGTGATGAATCTGTAGAGTTACATTATTTGTAAAAAAATAAAATTAAACAGTTATTAATTCCAAAAGGCGTTAAGCGGTGTCTATTTTTAAAATCTGGACCGTTCAAAGATCATTTCAAATTAAGTAAGTAGTGATTCATTCAATACGCACGGAAATTGTAAATATAAATATTATTAGGTATAAAATAATATTCTCAAATTAATTTTAGGTAAAAAATGTATTTATAATACAACGATCACTAATATTTATAAATATTAATGATGAACTTATGTATCTATATAAAAAGGTAGGTTGTACTAAGCTAATTAATTATTCCTTTTGTACGTGCTTTCTGCAATTTCATGTAGCTGGGTGGCCATTTTATCACTGGTTTCTTTCACCATCTTACTAAAGTATCCCTCTGGATTGTTAAGAAGTTTGTGGGGATAATCGAACTCGACCAGGCGGCCGCAATCCATGACGATAACTCGGTCTGAATCCATTATGGTATTTAGTCTATGAGCAACTGTTAAGACAGTGCAGTCAGCAAAACGAGTTCTTATTGTTTTTTGAATAAATTCGTCTGTTCTGAAAAAGATAAAATCAAGTATTTACTTTTATCATGTTAGTTACAAGTATCGTATGTTAGTTATAGTCAACTGCATCTATATAGCTGCAGTCCATGGTAATCGATTTAACTTGAGTACTTGCAATGGCTAGTGGTTGAGCATGAAAAAAAATATACAAATTTAAATGAAGTCTCTGTAAGGTTCTTTTTTATTTTCTTAATATTGGTTATATAATAATTACGAATTGAAATAGTGATTTTATCACTATATTATTATTACGTTTGGCAGGTTGTACATCGAGTTAAATTACGGTATGTCTCGGTCAAGGAAGGACGTGAATCTACTCTGAACAGAACTAATAATTATATAATATTAGGTCTTTACCGTACTGTAAAGACCTAATATGTATTAAAATATATAGTATATATTTACTTAGGGTCGACGTTGGCGGTGGCCTCGTCTAGCACGAGAATTTTGTTGCCACGCAGAATGGCGCGCGCCAGGCACACAAGCTGCCGCTGTCCAAGCGAGAAGTTGGCCCCGCCTTCCGACACTTTAAAGTCTAGTGCTGGCACCGCGTTTTTTAGATCAACCTATAAGAGACATTTATAAAAATATTCGTATTTAGCAATTAATTTATAAGATGATCTTGAAGAAATCACTATGAAAGTATGAATCAAAAACTGTTATTTTATATTTACCGACAATTTGACAAGGAACACAGTTATTTTAAAGTTTAGCCAAGACAAACTGATTGGACTTAAAGTCGACTTATGTATTTAAGTAATTATCTCCTGAATGACACTGAATAAACAGTTCATATATTGAGTATATATGTTCATATAACCACGTTGTTATCTCGTAATTACGAATAATTTATTATTATACTGGACAACGCTGGCAGAGGTAACCGTTTAAGTTCCGTTTAATACAAATATTATAATGTACTTATGTTTATTTTATTCAGTTGAGTTGTTTCTTATACCATATTAAGAAAAATATATAAAAAGAGAATACTTACACCTTCTAATGCTCGCCAAAGCTGTTCATCGTCGTAGTTATTGAACGGGTCCAAATTATACCGCACTGTCGCCGAAAAGAGCACTGGTTCTTGTGGTATTATGGATATCTTCGACCGCAGGTCCTGTTGTAAAAGCGTTTATTAATACTATATAAATATAAATACACTAGAGGGATCATTATTTATTTACCATAATTTCTTTATTATCGGTAACAGTTTCCTCAGGGAATAATTCAATCAAAAGTGGTTCGTTCAGTGGTCGAACTACTACATAATTCATTTTGTTTTCAAATTGTTGCATGATTTTAATACCTACATATGTAACTTCAACTATACGACAGGTCAATTAGACCCCTGTAACGTTTTGTAGTGGTTTTCATTTAAATCAGAAGTTGAAAGAAAAATGTTATTCTTGATAAAGTTGATAAGATTAAAATGTAAAGGTACCTGTAACGCTATATAGCTGGTATCGACACCGTCAATTAACACTTCTCCTTCAACAATAGCGAGGCGGAATAAAGAGGATATTAACGAAGATTTTCCAGCTCCTGTTCTGCCTACAATTCCAACCTGCAATCAAGATGTAATCAGACGAACTTTATTAGTTGAATAGGTTTTTGACGACTTCAGATATTAGTATCAGATAAATAAGTGTAAGGTATTTATATGAACCAATTACGCGAATTATAAATAACAATATTCATCTACAAACTCATTAATAATATAAATAAATAAAGGAGATTCGATGCAAAGCTGTTGTACTTAGTTTATTAAATCTGATTGTCTTCTCCGGGATTTGGCCCCGACTTGGGGGAAATTCGTGTCATCTTCTCCCTGTGTTTGGCGAAGTAAATTCCAAGTATAGCTTGTGGGTCATAGAGTGCTGGGAGACTAATAATTTGTGGACTAGCTTCACCGTCAGTGTGCAAGCCTCAGCTCCGTATGTGGATGGGGCTATCTTATGTTTCAATAAAAATAGCTTCAATGAGCTACAGTAAACGTATTTAGTTTATACATACCTTCCATCCGCTTTCAATCACTAAGTTGAGATTCTTGAGAACAGGCAAGTCATTTGGAGAATATTTCATGTAACAATTCTTGAACTCGATGCGACCTCGTAGTGGCCAATTTTTAGGAGTTTCTTTGTCTGTAATTATTTATTTTTTATTTTTCATTTCTGAAATTACATTTCAGTGTAATTGATCCTATGCTAACCGTTCAAACAAACCCAAAAAAACATTGACCGTTTTTAGGCTTTCGTTTGTTAAAGTTATTATATACCCTTTACAGCTAAATAAAATCCCGATGTACGCTATATGTTTTTTTGTCAGTGTATGTGTGTTTAGATTTTTTCAGATACATTATTACTGTCTCTTTGTGTGTTTTATTTATGCCTAATAGAAGCATAAATAATCTTTTACAAACCTCCTTTTTCCCACTTAGGTTCTCGTTCTATGTGCGTATATTGCAGAATACGTTCAACGCTAGTCATCTGTGAGATCACCTCGGCAGTCTGTCGTACACCGAATTGGAGCATACCCGTCAAGATCAAAGTCTGTGATATCGCCAATCCCACATTGCCGGAGAATATGGTTTCTGTTGCCAATTACGGTTAGGTATATACTACTTTTATTAACACATTCGTTTGCGTTTCATTTTAAAACAGAAGCGCTAAGTTTAATACGATATATTAATGTTACTGTGCATAAGTACATTTAATTTAAATATTAATGTGGTACAATATTAATTTAACTATTTACATACCATAGTGGCGCTCTAAATCAACCTGAAAGGATTCATGCTCTTTTAAAATCGAATAGAGATTTCTAAAATGCAGCACATGTACTTTTGCAATAAGTTCAAATTATGTAATGAGCCTTTACTTGAAAACGACATGAGCAGAAAAAGCAACAATTTCTGTAATTCAATATTAATACTTACTGCTGTCAATGACGAGAAAAGCAACTATAACAATGGTCAGATATAGCACACAGATGAAGTCAAGCCAAAAACCTAACGTCACTCCGCTTGCCAGGTAACTACTCCATGTAGATGTGTGGATATCCTGGAACAATACCCATTGGTACGTTAGTTTTTATTGGGGCAACAACTTGTGTACTTAGATGAAAATTATATTAAAGATCACAGTGCTTATTTTATTTACTACATCACTAATGTCATACATACACAGAAGAGCAGAGGAAGAGAGTAAATCTCTTCCTCTGCTCTTCTGTGTCTTCTATGTCTGTGCCTTCCCTAATTAGGTTGGGGTCAGCTTTGAGTCTACTGCGATAGGGTTGAACTATTGTCATTCTATATGCGACATATAAAAGACCGTGTTTAGAAATCACTTTTGTCATAGTGTTTTGTGTAGTGTTTGAGTAGGGTTACTAGACTTACTTTAGGGAAGGGGATAGATCTAGTGGCACCAGTACCGGTACTTGGTACTCTTAAATTTACAATATTCAGTACTTGAAGTAATTTGTTTGTAATTGTAGTATCTTGAAGTAATTGTAGTATCATGATTAAATTATACAACAAGAAAGACAAACGAAACGACCTCCAAACCTTCAAGAAAAGAGCGTACTCCTTCCTCAAAGACCAGCAACGCGTTTGTGACTCCTGAGTTGCAGGAGTTCATGGGCGGCGGTAGTCTCTTTTCATCAGGTGACCCGTCTGCTCATTTGTCCCATATCTCATAAAAACAATACAATCAGAATCGAGTACTTTGTTAAAATAACATTATTTTAGGTGTTAGCGACTGATTGAATGCTGTAGGCGGAGGAGGAGGATGCTATAACTCACGATGGGAAAGACCTAACAATAGGCTGATTGACAGATAGTTAGGGTATTTTTCGAGAATTACCTGGAATTGGTCGAATTCTTGAATAAGTCGTTTTTCCGCTCCGGCTGATCGAATTGTACCAATACCATTAAGGGTAGCCGACATATGAGAGAACACTGGACTACGAGCTGTAATTAATTAGAATATGTGCTTTTACGGAACAGGTAAACTAACAAATTAGGCTGTGAGAAATAAAAAATCATGTACCTAGATCCAAAAGACAAACCCACCATTTATTTTTTCCAAAGAAGATAGAACAGTTTTACCTAAAATTTTAGCAAAGACGTGTAGTAGTCGTAGTAGTAGAGGTAGATTTTAATGAGAGTTTTATAACAATGCATGAAACATTTTAAATGTTTAAATTATTTTTAGACTATACACATTTAACAAACAGTTGATATAAGTTAGTAACTTGAAGTCACATAGACAAAAGAAAGTACCTAGTTTAAGGATAAACAAACTAAATATATTTCTTGAAAAAAATAAAAATATGACTGTTCTCACTAAAAAAAAAGAAAATTAACAGTTGCGTCACCCATCCTCCGTTAGATGTGCCAGCAGTAGGCCAAAATCTTCTTTCTAATAAGGGGCCTATGTCTAGTAGTGGACTATTAAAGACTGTTGACAAAGATGATCCTCAGTAAAGATTTAAACAATACCCCCCTTATATTACATCCAAATCTTTTTAGGCGTTTAGATGTTAGGGTGCAATAAAATATTTAACATACATATTTACATGAATCCCGACAATATTACATCCTTTTTAGCCAGAAAGGCTAAAAAGTAAATTCTTTGTGATTTTACTTTTATAATGACATATTTCGTGTGCCTTCCTTTACCTTAATTTTACTAAGTTTATATAATGGTTTACTTACTAGTGCCTTCCAATCGTTTGATAGACTGAGCTGACTTCAAGTAAATTTGGAGAATGGAGTAGAATAATAATAGAATGATCGTGGTTGGGAGCAGAGTCCAAATAAGAGCAGCCGCATTCAAAGCCAATATACTGAACATTACGAGGTAAATCTGGATACATTCTAAAAGGAAACGTGGTAGCAACTCATCTAGAGCACCTATGTCCTTGGAGAACCTGTTGAGTATACGTCCTGTAAGCAAAATGTACTTCTTAGCAACCTTATATTATTTAATATAAGGCTTACTTAAGATGTAAAGACGTAAAATCTTTTTTTTTTATTACTTATTATTTACAAACGTAAATATAATAAAGAATCAAACTGCAAGGAAGATCTATGAAAAATAAAATAATATTTAATTAACCTGATGAATTTGTGTCGAAGAACCGCATGACACCTCTGAGCATTGAGTGGAACATGTTATTGTGGAGGTTGCGAGAAGCTGTCATGCACACCTTGAAGAATATAAAAGCACGGGCGGTGATGAAGAATATACAACACACGATTAGAGCTGAGTATACGTAGAGGTATTGAGCCGTATCTAATGGGCCAATATAATCGTGGATGTTTAAATCTGAAAGGAAATGATATTATTTTATATTTTACTACATATAATACTATACTTTTTATTATCGCTATGTGCCTAAAGTCTCCTACTGATTGCAATTTAAGGTAGATACGGCTAACCGGTGTGTCTGAGCCTGAGCTCAAAAAATATATACTGTCTATTCGCCCCCTAAATCTCGACAATCAAAAATATAATATACGACTGACTCCTTAGTTTATCGATTCGACCCTTGACTAGGGGCAAATCGAATTTTAAATTTGAAAAAAAAATTTTGGTGTATCGATTTGACTCTTAAGGAATTTCAATGATAATTTGCACGAGTGCAATTAAGAGCATCAATTCACAATCAGCAACCTATAAATAAATTATATTTACAAACGATATCCTTATCTTGCTAAAAAGTGTTTTTAATGTCATATAGCTTGAAAAATGTTTAAGATTTCACAAATCTGGACTTCAAATAAATTATTATTGTTATCATTATTTTTTTTTGATATTTTTATCTCTTATTTTTTTGTAAAAGTTTTTTTTAATTACCCATATCATATATATCATATCATCCCTCCGTATCTCCGTATCACCACCCCTGATCATATATATGATCTGATCATCACGTGGGTGTCGTAAGAGCCGATTAAGAGATCAAATAACGAAGAACAACAGCAGCACTGCAAAGATAAGGTAAACTTGACACAAACCCTATAGCGACCTGTCTGGCCAGCGTGGTCCAAACCAAACCTCCTTTCTAAGAAGAGGCCTAGATCCAGCTGTTGACTATTAAAGGCTATTGATGATGACGATGATGATGATATAAACTATTTGTATATTACTAAGTACTCGTAGTCTTTCAGGCTCTATGTTTCTATTTGCTACTTTTAATTAGCTATGTGAATGTTATTCTACTAATGATATCAGTAATTTTAAAGTGAAATTTCAAAGTTTCTTAGTTTGTTAAATATAACATTTAACAGTACCAGTAACAGTATGCCGTTTTAATTCTTTTATACATAATTATATACAGACTTATACGCATACATAAATTTGTAAATATAATTAGTTATTAGCAACTTCCTACATCGTTCTCCACTCCGTAAAAAAACTCTAAATTGACGTAGGCATTTTTTCTCAATGCCTACGTCATGTCATATTTTCTGACTGCATTTTCAAGCTAATGATACTAAATTCTTTTCTAAGGAGAGGCCTATGTCCAGCAGTGGACTATTAAAGGCTGTTGATGTGATGATGTGATGTGATACTAGGGGGCGAGTTGGCATATCTAAAATGTGAGGGCTCAAATTGGTACATTATGCCGTAGGTATATTTTATTTAAAGGGCCGAGCTTTAGGGGGCTATTCGCCCAGGTCATAGACCAGAAAAATTGCAACAAAGATATAAGAGCATTTCGGCACAATAAACCGTATTACCTATATATTTCAATACATGTAATTCATGATAAACTGTTTTCTGTACTTTTCATCCTTTAATATAATATAATATGTGCCTTTCATGACATAAATGACCGGCACATTAATTGTAGAGGAATATTCTTAATACTGCATTGTGACAAGTAAAATACCTTAGAAATAATAATAGATGTTTTTATCATCAGTTTTGTTTTGCCAAATGGTTCTTTTGGACTGCAAAGCGAGAGCAATTAAATTATCAGATCTCAGGATGCGATAATTGCCGACATCTGATATAATCACCGACTGGTGCGTGGTACCCGAGGGGAGATCCGCACAGAAAAAAAAGGATGCGATAATTTATCATTTGGTCAGCCGAATGATAATGGAACTAGAAAGTATACAGTATAGCACCGTAGAAAGTATGTAGACTGCGTCGAATAGAGAATCTTCTATTTGTTGAAGTTGGTTCAAAATATAAAAAGTCATAACATGTCAGTAATATTGCTCCCTAATAAAAAAATAAAAACAGTGTAAAAATACGTAGGTACGTACTCCTTTCTAAGAATTACTTTCTGTATAATTACTGACTGACTCTAAGTGTATTATGACTTTTGTTCCTCTATGAATAACGATAACAATCCTTAATCTTTCAAATACATGACCTTGGCGAAATTGTGCTTACACTCTACCACAAAGCCATTAACCAAAAGTTGAAGTTGAACAATCCTTAAAACAACTGTATTTTACCTGGTTTTTGGTTAATTCCGGTGAAGTAGCTAGATACGTTGAACGTGCGTGGCGACGTTTGCAAGTGATAATCTTGTTTATTGATTGACGTTCTGTTATTTTCAAAGTCTTTCATTGTGGTTACCTCGTTAGTCCTGTTCGATAATATAATGTTATTATAATGTTATTATGTTACACCGAATATACCTATAAATAATAAAAGAGGAGTCGCAGTGTAGGCGTAGTGCAGATCTGAACATTGAGAACACTATGCTGCACTATGCCAAAAGTATAACATAGCACGTGAAATTATATTCTAGGTCAATATTTTGGCTCCGTAATTTTGAAATGTGGCACTAATTTTTACTATCCAAAAAAGTTAAGAAGTAAGGAAAGTTCAGACACTCTGAGAGTTGCCAATCTTTTGTTAAAAAATAACGTCACATTCTGGATTTAATTATATCTGCAAAGAAATGTGTACTAAATTATAATTACCAGAATGTAACCCAGTAGTCGCAAAGCGTGGCCGATAATTGTCCTACGACTAAAAGTAAAATCATAAATATTACTCTCGGCGTCTTGCCACCGGCACTCAAGTAAGCACCATATACATGCCAGCCCATTGAGCCAGATTCTCTTTCTTCTTCTTCCATTTCTTGAGCGGGTATTTCAAAACCAGTCATTGAGTCTGTCATAGACGGACGCCGGGTAGTTGATAGCTGTAGACAGAAGAAAATGCTCAACCATTGCTTTGTGTCATTTGCGAGGTATGTAACTATAAAATAGGTCTGTATCATTAATTTATTATTTTCTTCATAACGAAAGTCTCTTTGCAAAGCACCGTTACAAACCTTTAAGCTAGCTAGCAAGCTATTCTTTAATAAAGACAACCGTATCGCACTTTAAGAAAAGCTATAATATTAAACATTAAAAATAGTATTCATAAGAATTTTATTCCATACGTGACAGTCTTTGCGATGGTTTATTAATAAATTTATATTCAATCACGACCTACTTGAGGAAACTAGATGGTGACTTATGTCTCATAGAATAAGATTCAGTTTAATTTATTGGTCGTGTGTGCGACTTCTTCGGAATTCCACGTTTAACATTGAATTGGTTTGTCTGGCCACGTTAAGTAGATATTGCTACCGGATGAATTAAGTTTTATATGCCTCACGACTTTAATTTTATAATATCCTCAAAAGTACACATGGAGCAAGGTATCCATTATCAAAAAAACTCGTTTCTCGAAACAACACCAGTGATAACGCAAAAATATATATTATACATGTGATAACTTAATGTTGAATACCTTTATTGTCTTAATAAACAACAAAATGAAGAAATTAAAAATACAATCATATTTCTAACGATTATTTACTTTAGGTACCTTGAATTAAACCTTTGATATAGAAATGGTACTCATTTCTATATCAAAGGTTTAATTCAAGGTACCTTTGGTATGTAAGTCGGTGAGTACAAAAGATTAAGTGAAAGAACTCACAAACTTAAACTCACAAGAGAAATGCTTCTTTACTCAATTCGTAACTTAATTAAAAAATAAACTGTATGTAACGCAAAATAAGAAGGACAGAAGGTACAGAAGGAATAACAAAATACAATAAACACCATTCCGATAGTTTATCAGCATGAAAGAAAATCCTCCGAGCAGGCTCGGTGATGGCGCCTGGCGGGCGTCGGCCCAACGGTTGATGTTAGGAAATTGTACATTATGCTAAACGGCGCGGCGTCAAAAAATTTCATACTCCGTAGTTCTGCGTGTCTGCGTTAGATGGCACTGAAGTTTGATTTTCTTTGTTTATTGTATGTGGGAGTCGAATTAATACAAGAAAAGTTTTAGAAAAGAATTGTAAAAAAAATAAAAAATAAAAACTTCGTTAGTAGTTAATAAAAAGAATACCACGTACCCTGGCTGAAGTACGTCTGGATAGAGGAAGAGGTTTATCCAGTTTCTTTTTATCTTCATTTTCATCATGGCTAGATGATAATAATTTAGCAAAGTCTTTGCCTGTTGTCTGTAGTTCATCGTACGTACCTTTCGCTTCAACCATACCCTATAATCACAAGCACGTATTAAAAAATTAAGTAGAAACGTTTTACTTACATGAAATTAAATAATCTCAGTTAAAATTATAAAATGGTTATACAAATGAAATAATTTATTGGTAATCATTAGTAAATTACTTTAAAACATGTTTTAAAGAAAAAAATATGTATTTTTACACGGAAAGTGATTGGCTGACTTTACCGCTGAATTTATTGATAATATTGATAATAAACTATAAAATTAGACTAATATTTGAAAAAAATTACGTTGTTTAAAATGACGATACAGTCGGCATCCTTAAGATAGTGCAGTTGATGTGTCACGAGAACACGTGTGGTGTGTCGCAAGTAACCGTTAATACACTCGTCGAAAAGCTGCCTTCCCACGTGGGCGTCTACTGCTGATAACGGGTCATCCATCAGATAGATGTCAGCCTATAACGACATAGTTTGTTTTATAGATTCCATTTTCTTACATGCACTGTCTAAATCTGTGGAGGACATTCGGATTACGAGGGCCGTACTATTGAACACACTTAGCCTAAAGACCTAACTCTTAACACTGGCTTTTGGCAAATCGTGAATGAATTAAAGTAATTGAACCCAGAATACGGTAAAACTGCAATGTAATTAATCGAACAGCCGAAGCGCTCAGGGCCCCCCCTTCGGCCGTCAACTTGTGTTAGTGTGCGTTGACTATTTGCACATAATACAAATGTAGTTAATACTTTTCTGCGATACCTACGGGGAATTACCTTAACCTTTGACAGCTGATTGCATAAAATGTTTAATTCTCCTGCAGAAAATGGCAATGATTTTCGACTCAGAATGATGGTCTGAATACAGTTTCAGTACACGTCCCTTACACGCTGTATAGGTGTAAGGCTTTCAGATTAGATTTTTTAAATACTAATTCGATAGTTATATAATCTCTTGCGCGAAGGACAGAACAAATTTTTAGCAAAACCCTACTCACATACTCGGGTATGTTTAATTTTATAATTAATAATAGCTATAGTGACGATTTTAACCTAAACTGTCACTATCACAGAACAAAGAATACCTATTTCTGTGGCCATAATCGTAGCTAAAGTTATGTCAAAACATAACACTTTTTTCAAAAATTATATGAATTATCGACGCCATTTTAATGAATTTTGATGCCATTCACAGGACTTTTTTTTTATACTCGTACCTTCTGAGAACTCAGCTGCTTAGTTTTCCATTAACAATATAGTGTATCTTTAAGCTTCTCCCTTTTTATATTATTTGTACATGTTTCAGACCAAGACAGATTGCCTAAAGTAACGACAAATATTTAGTTCAATAATAATAATATGATGATAAGAAGATGTACGTACTTGTCTGTAGACGGCTCTGGCAAGGTTGATTCGTGCCCTTTGACCACCGGATAACGAAGCACCTCTTTCTCCGACCAGTGTCTGGTCACCATGAGGCAATTGCTGAAAGTCTTTTTGAAGAGCACACACTCTTATAACCTGTTGTTTAACAATTCCATGTATCATTAATACGTCATTTTTAAATACATTATTGAAGTTTATGAACGGCGTTACTCACTTCTTTATACTTTTTGGCACTATACGGCAATCCGAACAAAATGTTTTGTCTGACAGTAGCTACGAATAGCCAAGGTTCTTGACTTGCGTAAGAAAGCGGCCCAGACAGATATACGCGGCCACTACTCGATCTTAATTCACTTAACAGTAACTGAAGAATGGAGCTCTAAAAATACATGTTAACTTTATATGAATTAGATATTAAAGTTTTACCATGTAATAGAAGCAAAATATAATCGAAGTTTTAAAGCGTTACTCACGAACGCTTAGGTCAGTGACTTTTTGTTTAAACATTATTTACAGAGCAGTGTGTATGTGCCATAAAAGTTCATTACCTTTCCAGATCCAACAGCTCCAATAATGGCGCATAAACTCCCTTTAGGTATCGTAAGATTTATATTATTCAAAGTTACAGGACCGTCTTCAGTCCAACTGGCGCTAACATTTTGAATAAGTATACCGACATCTTTATTTACTGGTAAATGAGAAATGGCCGGACTCAGTATTCCTTTTTCGTTGCAGTCAAATCCTAAAATAGATAACCTACATTTTGGAATATTTTGTAATTTCATTATCTCAGAATTTAGAAACCTTTTTGCTTTAGTATTTAAAAAAAATGCAAAGATAGAAATAAACAAAAAAAAAAATGTCGCCATTTTGTGTTTCTTTTTACTTTGCCAATCGTTGAAACAAAGCCTTTATTAATTGTGAATTTTTCATTTTCTTTTCTTTCAAATTACTCCAAGGATTAAACCTATATTAAAAAAAATAGCTTTATGTACTTTTTCTCCATATAAACTTTAACTATGTCAAATTTTAAGTTCATCCGTTGCAATTTTCTTAAGAAAGGGCACAAAGTTCTTGCTTCACGGATTAATATATAGATGGTAATGATTGATGTAAGTAAATTTTGTATTTATTTTTAAATAATATTAGTATATTTGTAATAAGTGTATGCAGTATGTATTTGCTACATACAATACAGCGGAGTCTGTCACAAAACAGCGATTCACTGCATAAGCAAACCGGGTCAATTGGTACAATTGGTTAATGTGTACAAGAACAAACAGTTTTATGAGTATTTGTTTAGTTCTTTTAATTTTCTTGAGTGTTTAATTTGATACATACCTGGGTTATATATACCTTCTTCGTCAATTTTCTTGAAAGTAGTTGGACGTAGGTCGATGTCACTAAAGGCCTTAACGTTTTTTGACTCTTCACACTTTGCAATAACTTTGCTATGTCAACATTAGGCACACTGCGAAGATCTTCCCGTTCATCTGGTTTAATTAAGATAATATTTTATTTATAAATCAGGCAACTGTACAATATTTAATCTCATTTTTACAATCACCTTACAGATCTACCAGATCACCTACCTATATTACATATACCAACATATACCACCTATAATATGCAAACTGCTAGTAAATTTTGTAATAAGCTGCTGTCCAAATTTTGTAAATTTACTTCATTACAGATCACATAAATGACAAATTACACCACATAAATTAAACATATTTAAAAAACAACAACATTAAAATATTAACTGCTTTCTAGTTAAATAATATTGCACAATGTACATAAAGAAGCACTAAAAGCTGTTATATCAACTAAAGATATAACCGAGGTTCAGCAAGTAGTAGACTTTTTAGTTAATGAGGAAGACGTTATTTTGTGTAATTTAGGATGCGTTAATGTGTCAGTTTAGGTGCAATGGACACTTACATACCTAGCAACATGAACTCCTCAAGACGTTGTACTGATATCAAGGCTTCTGCTAGGAAGGATACTGCATTCGACATTATTATAGATAATGTCCCTTGAAGAGTATTAAAAAATTGTGCTAGAGGAAATACCTGAAAATATTCTATATTTATAATTATATCCGTTGTTACTTCAATTGAGTGTCATTTTTCTATTTGGAATTGAAAAAATAAGCTTCGGTGAAAAGAGCTTCTGCATTTTGACTACTTACTATATCTGCAGTAACTTGGTATCCAAACAAGGAGTACGTTAGTAACGTGATGTACAGTGAGAGTCTTTCCGTAAACACCATGAAGCTAAGATATACGCCACGAAGATATGAGGCTGATGTGATGCTGTCGATCTCATTTTTTCGTGAAAGCACTACCACTTGTTCAAAAGGTTTCTCCCACGCGTACATTTTTATGACCTTAGACAATTTCATTTTAATTAATAAAACCTGACATATGTATATTTACGATAAAGGGAGAAGCAGACAAGTATTGAAATATTTTGGCAACTATAATTTGGTCCAAATTTTAATAACATAATAATGAAAACCATTGAACCCAACCACATTACCAAACATTTAACCGGACAAATTAAAATTAAAAATGGTAAAAATAGGATTAAATGTAGTGTACTCTATTAAAATATCAAACTACGAATTGTTATTTCAGTAACCCAGAAATGTCTTACTTAAACTGAGCCCACCTATCCCTCCATGATAATAATATACGGACATGAATTGGAACACAGACAACTAAAGAACACTATTTATATTATATATTATGAACGCCAATGCATATTCATACCTCTAAACTATATCTATAATATTATTATGTTATATAAGTCAACATACCTGCATGCCACTAATAATTTCGTCCATAATGCGCACTCTTTCGTCTGTTTTATATGCGGTTTTTTTTCGTAATTTTGCAGCTAATTTACTCATGTAAGCTGTAAATAACATTTAATTTTAGTAATCCATACATATGTAAATATTCTTTGTTGAAAAGAGGTTTTCCTCGGCAGGTAAGGATACCTACTATTTATTTCAATCTGCGTATTTATCTTATTTTGAACGTGCGTTTAGTACGATTTGGAAACCGGAAGGAGCTCACTCTTGACTTATGTTTTGGCTTTATCTCTAGTTGGCAAAATAAGGCTGATAAAATTTGAGTAGCACTGTTCGATAAAGGAACAGTTCAATATCATAGTAGTCATAATATAATAAATTGTAATAATATAATGTTGACGTTGTATTATTCTTAAAATTGCCGTCCTTTATATTATTGATTAAATTTTATTCATTGCAATGACAATTATATTTTTCCTCAATACCATGCTACATATGAAGACGAAAAAAATTATATACTTAACTCATGTTGTTAATATTTATAATGTAATAGAAAAAAATAAACATTATTGTTTAATTATTATTTAAATTGTAAATGATAAAGCAGTCGCTGTTGACATTTAAAAGCAAGATGCTAGTCATAATTATTTTGATACTTTTAAAAGAGAAAAAATTGCTTTATAAATCAATTAGACGAATAGAACGATTGCAACAAACTTCAAATTCCAGAACTTTTGTTTATGGAATAGAACGCAACATTGAACCTTATTACTTCAGACTGATTCACTGACTGATCATAGGAGCATGGAAAATGACATTTACGCGATCGAAGCCGAAGCCAAAAGCTAGTTTATTATAATTAAATACATTTATCTAATGCTTATTACTTACACTGTACTGGTATAGTCTGCAGGACAATGCCAATGACACCAACGATAGCTGCGTATCCAATTTTAAGATATATAAGGTAGCAAACGACGATCACTTGCAGTGGTAATAACCAAATGAAATGAGTATATATAAAAGCATAGTCGAAACGGTTAACGTCGTTGGATAGCAAATTTACAACTTGACCTGCCGTCGTCTGCGCCAGCGCACCGGAGCTCATACGCATTACCTACCAATAAAAAAAAACTTATAGAAATTAAGCTGACATCCTGGCTTAGAGATACCAAAATTATCTTTTAAAAGTCAATGAGCTTTTATTTTTACTATTTGAGACTTTCAGTAGCTTTAATAAAGCAACTATGATTCTGTTTTTATTTTATTTTAATCATTAATAATCATTCTAATATATTATAATAAATTCAAAACTATAATCGGTTCCCACAAACAAGTGCGAACTTACAGTTCACATTAAGAATTTACCTCTTAGGAATCGGTTCTAACTCGTTAATCAGTTTTCCTTTGAAGATATTTAGATATTTTTATACACTATATTGTCTTTAAGTTAAACTTTATTAGAAGAGTTTAATGTCTTGAAGAGTACGTAAGTGTTTTTTTTAAGTTTTAACTTACCTTTCTATAAATAAGTGAGCACGCGGCAATGCGAACTTTCATGCCGAATTGCTGAGTGGAATATGTCCCGTGATGATTCAGAAAACCGATAAAGATTGAGATGAGTATAACGGCTGTTGCACAGTACACGGCTTGTTCGTATGTCATGTTCGAACCTGGCTCCCAGTAAGCCAGCATCATGCTTAGAGCAACAGGTTGGAACGGTCTAGTGAACAAATATCAGATATTTCAGATTGTGTAAAAGTATGCAAAATTATTATAGGCTCTAAAATAAGATAAAAAAAACAAAAAGAAACGACGGGTTGCACTCTGGGAGTGCCGGCAGAAGTGAAAACTTGAATATTAACGTTGTGCATTTTTGATATTTCGGATTGGTATGGAATAATTTTGCACGAATTGCTTTAATTATCAGTATTAAAGTACTATCATTTATGTGGTAGAATACAATATTTATTTATTGCGCTATCGTACACAAAAATGACAATTTATCGATACGCTGTCACCATCCATGGATGCGCGTGGCACGCTGTAACATAAACGTACACGAACATTCGCGCAAGCGCCCTGCGCCGCCTAAACGAAACAGCAGGCGCAGGCATACATTTTCGCCGCGCCGTAGAAAGAGAGGGGGATACTTCCTCCCTTACGCCGCGCCGGCTGTCTACTCTCCATCCGTCTTACGAATTTTGGATCAGATCACGTGTCCTGACGCGAGTTTAACATTTTTTACCCATTACAAAAAAAGTGTACAACGCCGCTAAAGAAGTTTTCACTTCAAAAAATGTAAAAAGATAGTCAAGATTACATTTTTAAATTGGTTTCAATGTCATAGAAGTGTAAACTTTTAAAAGTGTTTTCAAAGTTAGTTTATGCGCTATCTGTAAGTTTTCGAATACGTAATATACTTTCACAAATGTATAATACATTTGTCTTCAAGTCAAACTCATGTATTTTGTAAGACATTGCGATGACATCTTAACATTGCGACACACTCGTTTCAGTAAATAGAGCTTTTCTCATTTAGAATTTTAACTTTGTACTTTAAAAAAATGAATTTGTTTAAGAATAATAATCATATAATATCATCAACACATCACATCAACAGCCTTTAATAGTCCACTCCTGGACATAGGCCTCTCCTTAGAAAGGAGTTTTGGCCTACTATACTACGCTGGCCAGACGGGTTGGTATAAGGTTTGTGTCAAGTTATCCTTCTTTTGGCAGTGCTGGTGTCCTGCGTTGTTTTGCGCCCTTAGTCGGCTCTTACGACACCCACGGGATGAATTGGGGTAGTGACAATATACGGTATTCTTAATCCGTCACTACACGGACCCATACAATATAATAAAATATTTATTAATTTTAATAATTTATACATCATAAGTTATCATAACTGTTCTGCGGTTCAGTTTATGAAATTGAAACCAAGATAAATTATGGCGTAGAAATATCGCAGGTATTTCTGGGGCACATCTGCTTATAATACGAGTACTAAAATGCTGTTAATTCCGAAATCTAAACTAAACGTTTAAAAAATAAAAAAATAAAATACAGTCAGTCACCAACTGCCTGAAATAGCCTGAAAGTAGATGTTTCTGCTATTCTGACAAAGAACATGACCATTTGAAAAAAGGCAGGAGGAGGCAATTCGCAACAAAGGGAATAGCTCACAATAAAAAATAGAGTATTTATTAATTGCAGAATTCCACTGTCTATATCTGTGTCATGAATGAGACCACTTACTTGAAGACGAGGGCCTGTATGAGGAACATAATGCCCGAAGGAGCATAACTCATCCAAAAAGCCTTGGTCATTGCACGAAGTAAGGATGGTTTACGGTCCTGTTGGTTCGCAAGTGCAATTTCTTCCAGCCATTTTCTGTAACAAAGTATCTTACTTTTAATTAGGTTTAACGGTTAGTTACCTATAATTTGCTCTTGGTATAACGTATATAAGTTTGTTATGGACAAACTATTGTCTCACCAGACTATTTTGATCTTTTGGTAAGTTTATGTTTAGTTTATGCATAAAATGATCACAGTACTTACTACTTGTATTATTATGTTATGCCTTTTATATTCTTATAACAATTAACATAGTCAGATAACATCATGACCGTGTGGTGACGGATTAAGAATATGGGCTGTCACCACCCTTATTCATCAGCACTGCAAAGAGAAGGAAAACTAAAAGAAACCCTACACCAACCCTGTCTGGCCAATGTTTTATAGTAAGCCCCCAAGACCTCTTTTCTAAGGAGAGGTCTATGTCCAGCAGTGGATAAATTGAGACTATTGTTAATGATGATGAGATAAGATAATTCTTTGATATAAATACGTTCGGAATTAAAAATAAACCTTAATAAAACTAGGTTGGGGTGCTTCTGGTGTGGTACAGCTTTTGTGGTTTAAATTTTAGACTATTTTCGTCTGGAGAACGTGGTGAGAAGCTGACCATTGACAGAAAAGAAAACTGAAAAAAACAACGCGCGAACCTACTTGTCGATAGATTTGGAGCCTTGTACTTTGGAAGTTATACACGAGTCACTTAATGTTTACCGTATCGTAATGTTTAACCTAATGGCGTAACCTTAATAAGACGATTGTTTTAAGATACTTATGATATAATCATTGTTAAATTAAGAATATTTAAATGACGTCACCCAATAAATACTTATTACTATGATTGGCTTCCTATTTCATATACTTAAGTAAATCGTATTCAATATAGCATTTGCATATAAATAGTCCTAAAAAACGAAATAATACAGGAAACAAATTTAATTACACGGGCATTGTATTACTGTTTGTACTCCTATTAAAGCAAATTTTGGGTACACGAGTTAAACTAAACTTAATAAATTAAACTAAATTATGTGAAAATAGCAACAAAAAACACAATAGTCTATACATTTTTTTTGTAGAAGATAACTCTATTACCGACTAACTGGGAATATAGCCTGTGTTTCGGGGAACTTTACAAACATATCTACATGAAACATCCAGACTCAGAAAAACCATTTGTGGATCACACAAAGTGCTGTCCCATGTGGGGATGGAAACCACAACACTCAGCGCAGAAGGAAGCGACGTGGCGACCGCTTAAACCACTACGCCATCCGTGCAGTCAATTTATTATATTATATGATTTAATATTGTTTATTTTTATAATCTTCCACATTTAATACTGCAATTCTAACTTCAAATTCTGTTCGAACGATATAAGTTGCAGCTTTTAGATATTAAATTTCAATAAATTTGATATCTAATATTAGAACCTAAATTGAAGAATTAAAGGGCAGTAATAATACGTTAGGTTCAATAATAATAATCAACTGTAAATAATAACTGTAGATATGTGTGATCTCATGATGTGATGATATATCTCAAAAAACTGCACTTCAAAAAGATAATGAACCTTATCATCAGTAAGGAAAAAAGTTACTTTATTAAAGTTAAAAACAGGTTGTGATGTCAAATAAATATTTAAATTTCATTCTACTCAAACCGCTATACAAAAACTAGAATATAGTGGGCCCTTTTACCGGTTTATTCTAATGATATAGTTGTGGTTGAGAAATTTTGTATCAGGTTTTTAAAAAACCATCATACTAAATACATTCTGAACGCGTAACGGCGTACTGTGATTGATTTAGCGGGCAAATGAGAAGGGGGCTTACCTAAAGGATGGCTTGCATAGTGACTAACGCTGCCCATGAACATTTAATACTCAGGAGTCATAAGGATAATAATTTTAGGTGTGTATATAGTATAAGTCATAATAATTTTAGGTGAAAGTTCATTATTTTCATGTTTTTAACTAAAGCAAAATCGCATACTAGTTGAAAGAACTTTTGAAGAAAAGAAAAAGATTTTTTTTTAAAGAACTTAATGCATGAATTTGGCTAATTAATATTACCAAATGTAGAAACACGTCAATCTAGACATACACAATTGATAAAAGTTAAACAGTATTTGACTGTCAAGTAAAATCAGTCCTCAAAATTTCGAACTTTCATTTTGTAGACCATCACCAAGTCTTACTTTTACTAAACACACTAACTTTAAACACACTACTACTTAAATTTTTAATAAAATTAGTGTTCAACTTATTTTAAGTCAGTTCTGCAGATTATACTATTTTTCGTCACTATCAATCTGAATACATAGAAAGGTAGATTAATAGTGGATATAAGTAGCTTCAATTTTACTTACATACCTACAAAAAGATTTGAGATCACATTAAAAATATAACATTCAAAAACTGGAAGTCTATCAACACAGTTATTTACCGACAAAAAGTTGTGAGATCAAATAAATTTGTAACTAAAAACATTTTATAGCGACCGTAGCAATATAAGTAATCTTACACACACAAATTACATCACGCAAGTAGAACCGACATACAACGTAACGTATGTGCTCTAATTCGTCCCTATAAAATGTTTACAATTAGTTACAATAAATTAGTTTATGATTTGGACAGCAATGTAATCTAACAACTTTTTTTTAGAAACCGCGTTGCTAGACTCGCATTTTTTTGATGGAAATATCATTTGCATAGGTTGTAAATATTTTCGTAGATAGGTAACTTTTGGCACTTGTCTATGCTTGCAGTGCCAGTGATGTTAATTTTATCTGGGTGAGGCCAACCTTCGAAATACAAGTGAAAGCACATCAGATGTTCGTGAATAAAAACGATGTGCAACCGGTACCTAACGTGCCAGCGCGGGTATGCATTCCCTTCCCATGTCGATCGTTGACATACTAACTCGTTCTTCGTAATGTATTACTAGTGTGAGTACCTTCTACCGGTTAGGTCAATGTAAACAAGACGAAAATGATTCTTTTAACGCTTAATCCGTAGGCCAGACGTACTCATTAGGTCAGACCAGTGTAGCTCAAAAGCTTCGACATAAACCCCCAAGTTATGGTGATTTAAAAGGGTCTACGTGGGTAAAAAATAATTAGTGAGATATGAATAATCGATACCTATACATAAAATGGTATTCGGTGTAACAATGTATATCGTAAGAACAATCGAGCATGCATTAACTTGTTTAATTCATTAACCAATGAATGTGAGGAACAGATATTTTAATTTATATGATAAATATTAAAAACACATCGCTTTTAAAAAAATAATTTATATAGAAAATATTTTGAAAAGTAAGTAAGGGATTGAAACAACAAAAACATACTGGTCTGCAGAATAATAAGTTTGAAAATCGTTGGGTCAGACCTTCGAGATGTAATAAAAGTTCAAACACTAATAATTCGATCGAGCTATTCTAAAATTAAGTTATTAATATTTTACTCACTCAGTTTACACTCAGTTATTGCACTATGTATAAAATATAAAGTTACTAGGAGACTTCATTATAAATCCCTGGTCCAAAATTCTGAATTTACAACTAAATAAATTCCTTTACATTGTTAACAAAATTAAATTAAAATTAAAAAAACCCCAACACATTTCTTGGATTTAAATTTGTCATAGTGTATAGTATTCTACTAGTCAACTTGATCTTTCATTGCTTGCTCCTTCATTTGATACCCATATTGAGGGAGTTGTGAAAAAATATGTAAGCCGCCATTTTGTGGCGGCGGCCATCTTGGACCGATTTTCATCAACACAACTAAGAATACTACCGACTAATTCACCTTTCAAACAAGGAAAAAACAAAATAAAAAACGGTTCATCTTTTCGGGAGCTACGATGCCAGAGACAGACATACACACAGACACGTCAAATTTATAACACCCCCAACAGAACATATAAAAAGTGACAGAAAATAATAATTGAATAGAATATTCTACTTACATATTCACGACTGTTTCTATTCAGCCATTGTTGTTAATTTGTAATACGTATTGTTTAGCTATGTGAATATCACATTCATTCTGTACTTCTGCATGTAATCATGGGATGATAACATATTACAAAAGCTAAAGGGGCCGTACGAATGGTTTACGATAATCTTGCTACTTGAAGAGTGTTAATATGGAATCAACGAAAATGCAGTCCACGAAACTATAAAATAAAAAGTTAATTATCATAGGAATGCCATGGGTATTAGAACTCGCTGTTAAAACATCACATCGAATTTAGATCCCCTATATTAAAACTTATTAAGATCCACTCGATACAGTTAATTAGCGATATTTAATAATAATAAAATACATATGCGTGTACATTACCCGTCACTTGTTTTTAAGCTGTCTTTATTTACTATCAAAATTGACCTTCAATTTCAGTCAAGCCTCCATCAGCGTGTCGTCGTCGGTTGTAGTTGTGGTGTTTCCACTAAAAACCACCCCGACGGCCGGACTCAAATGTCCTACTCCGAGGAGGACCTGTACCATGTTATTTCAGGTCCCCCGGATCGACGCCGCGCTTAGCTAGTCCCTATCCCGGGGAATAAAGGCTTCCCCGCCTATCGGCCAATCCTTATGTTAATGTTGCGGCCCGATCGCATTTTTGCGACCAAGCCGCCATCCTTTCGCCTAACGAAGCAGTTAATTTGCCACCAGAGGTAACCACTCTCTGGCAGCCTGCGGCCCCGTCGAAGGCTAATAGCGCCGTCGACGTCCTCTACGCTCGGGATCGGCCCTCTCCCGATCCCGCTCAGCGGTCTGTTTCTGAAGCATTACAGCTGCACAGAAAGAGACCACAGCGACCCATCCGTCCTCACCCGCCAGCTGGGGCAGCAATTATGGCGGGGACAGGTCTCGTCCGAATTGGTCGACCAGGAAATCATTGACAATCTACAGTATGCTCTTATGCCACCGGAAATAATTTCAGTGTTCCTTACCATGCATCTTAGAGGCATTGCAGTCAATACACACTTTTTAGATTTTTTACAACGAACAAACCTTAAAAGATTGAAAATAAGTAAAACAGTAGAAAACAGTATTTGATGATACCATTTCCATAGATCCTAAGCCTTTGAAGCTATTTGAAATTTCCCTTCCAACAGCAGATTATCTAAAATAATATTATTGCTATTAAATGTTGTTATACTAAATTCATTTTATGTAATAAATGCGTTCACGATTTTATTAATAATATTTCGATAGCTGTGTTGAGTGAGATAAATCAAATGGTTCAGCTAATAGCTTAATTATTCTATTTGTGGTTATTAAATTAACGTTTTGTAATACAACAACAATTACTGTAATCATCAGCAGCCTTTAATAGCCAACTGCTGGACATAAGCCTCTCCTTAAAAATGAGGTTTTGGCTTACTATACCATACTGGCCAGACGCGTTGGTATTGTGTCAAGTTTTCCTTCTCTCTGCAGTGTTCTGCGTAGTTTTCTCCCTTAGTCGGCTCTTACGACATCCACGGGATGAATAGGGGTGGTGATACTCTGTATTCTTAATCCGTCACCACACAGACCACCATACTGTAATATGTAATTTGTATATGAGTACATGTTTATATACAGGATGAGATGAGCTCATGAAAACGAAGACAGACGATGTTTAGAATTGAAGAAATACATCGTACACAGTTAAACCTTCAATAATTTGTAATGTTGGACGACCATAACTAGAATTCTTAGTGTTTCCTCCCATTCAGTATGACTTGTGGTGCGTTGTTCTCGTCGGAAGTATCCATCAGTGCCTCGCAACAGTCACGATTACAAGTAATTATCATTACCGAGCGCAATCGTTTCGGTTAAAAACACAGGTAGAGCTCTGTATTTTCCTTGCTCAAGAATTGAGTAGCTGTATTGGTTATAATGTTTCTATAATACGAGTACCTATGTTTTAGGAACCAAATCGAGTC